ATATTGCTAAGGATTGTTACTCGGTAAAATGTTATAATTGTGGAAAGAATGTGCATGTTGCAAAGGACTGTTATTCCGTAAAATGCTATAATTGTGGAAAACTGAGTCATATTTCCAAAGATTGTAGGTGTGAGAAGAAAAAGGAGGAACCAACAAACTTTCTTGCTGAGGAAGAAGATGAAGGATTGCTGATGGTGACAAACACTTCAGAAACTGAGATCAAACCGAATTGTTCTAACAACTCGGTTTGGTACTTAGACATTGGCGCTAGTAACCACATGTGTGGTGATGAACGCTTTTTCAAAATACTTTTAAAGGTGGAGTCCGGATTTGTTTCTTTCGGTGATGCTTCGAAAGTAGCTGTCAAAGGTCAAGAAATGATATGGTATCAATAGAGAAATGGGCAAATCAGAGAGATCAGAGATGTATACTACATACCTGATCTCAAAAGCAACATATTGAGCATGAGACAATTAATGGAGAAGGGGTACTCGATTCTGATGAAGGACCGAGAACTACAACTGAAGGATAAATTAGGGAGACTTGTTGCTTTTGTGGGAATGAAGAAAAATTGCATGTACAAACTTGAGCTGAAAACAGTTCAAGATAAATGTATGCAATTTGATATGGAGGATGAGGCCATGAAGTGGCATTTGCGGTTTGGTCATCTTCACTTTGGTGGGTTGACTGCGCTGGTGAAAAAGGAGATGGTGCTCGGATAGCCTAAAATGGAATTTGAAAAAAGGTTTTGTGAAGAATGTGTGATTGGGAAGCAAGTGAGGACTTCTTTCGCAAGAAGTTCTGAGTGTCGAGCAAAGCAGCAACTCAGAGTGATCCATACTGATTTGTGTGGGCCAATAACTCTAGAATCTTTCAGTGGTAAGAGATACTTTGTCTCTTTCATTGATGATTTCTCAAGGAAAACATGGGTTTATTTTCTGAAGGAGAAGTCATAAGTGTTTGAAACTTTCAAGAAATTCAAAGTTATGGTGGAGAAAGAAACAAACAAAGTCATCAAAGCAATCCGATCTGACAAAGGAGGCGAATTCATTTCTACTGAGTTCAACAAATATTGTGAGGAACATGGGATCAAACGTTTCCTGACTGCCCCATATTCTCCGCAGCAAAACGGTGTAGCGGAACGAAAGAACTGAACCATTCTGATATGGTTCGATCTATGTTGAAAGGGAAGAATATGCTAAAGAAGTTTTGGGAGGAGGCAGTGCAGTGCGCAATCTATCTGCAAAATAGATGTCCACATGCAAAGCAAGGTGAGAAGACGCCTCAGGAGATATGGAGTGGTATGAAGCCGAGTGTCTCTCATCTAAAGGTGTTTGGTAGCATGGCCTATGGGCAAGTACCAAGTCAGCACAGGACTAAATTAGAAGATCGGAGTAAGAAGTACATATTTATCGAGTATGATGGAAAATCTAAAGCATATAAATTGTTTGATCTATTAACAATAAAGTGGTGGTAAGCCGAGATGTTCACGTGGAAGAAACAAAGCATTGGTGCTGGAGTAACCCGACAGAAGAAGAAACTAGTTCAGAAACTGTTGTGCCTTCAACAATAACAACCATTGAGTCCTCAGATAAAGAAATAGAGCCACAACAGCCCAAGATGAGAAGTCTGCAGGAAATATACGACACTACATATGAAGTTCATGTTGTATGTCTTTTGGCTAACTCTGAAGACTTGAGTTTTGAGAAAACTGTCCAAGATGAAAAGTGGAGAACAACCATGGATGAGGAGATTGGAGTGATTGAACGCAACAAAACTTGGGAATTGACTGACCTTCCTAAAGGAGCTCAACCCATTGGAGTAAAATGGGTGTACAAAAAGAAGATGAATGTTGAGGGAGAGGTTGAACGTTACAAGGCTCGACTTGTGGTGAAGGGCTATAGACAAAAGGAAGGAATTGACTATGATGAAGTATTTGCTCCTGTCACGAGAATGGAGTCAATCTGACTTCTGATCTCATTAGCTGCTCAGAATCAATGGCCGATTCTATAGATGGATGTGAAATCGGCATTTCTAAATGGAGTGCTAAAGGAAGAGGTGTATGTTGAGCAACCACTCGGGTACATGAAGAGAGGGGATGAGAAAAAGGTACTGAGATTAAGAAAAGCTCTCTATGGGTTGAAGCAGGCTCCTCGTGCCTGGAATGAGAGAATTGATGGGTCTTTCAAGAAAAATGGGTATGAACAATGTCCATATGAGCATGTTTTGTACACAAAGAAATCAGAAAAAGATATGATGGTAGTTGCTCTTTATGTTGACGATCTCATATTCACTAGAAGCAACACAAAGCTAATTAAGGAGTTCAAGGAGGTAATGAAGAAAAAGTTTGAAATGACAGACTTAGGGTTGATGAAATATTTTCTTGGCCTAGAAGTGAAGCAGTCAGAGGAAGGAATTTTTATATCCCAAGAGAGGTACGCACTTGAAATTTTAAAGAAATTTAAAATGGAGGACTGTAACCCGGTTTCTACTCCAATGGAACCGGGTACTAAACTCTCAAAGTTTGATGGAGGAGAACGAGCTGATTCTAGGAGATATAGAAGCTTAATCGGAAGTCTGAGATACCTTACAAGCACAAGACCCGACCTAATGCTGAGTGTTGGGATAATGAGCAGATACATGGAGAATCCAAGTTACACACATTGGAAGGCTTTAAAGAGAATTCTGAGATATGTTCAAGGAACCTTATCACTTGGTCTATTCTATTCAAAATCGGATGACTACCGACTAATGGGTTACTCAGATAGTGATTGGTGTGGTGATGTTGATGACCGGAAAAGTACTTCAAGTTATGTGTTCCTACTCGAAAAAACAGCTTTTACTTAGCTGTCAAAGAAGCAACTCATTGTAACTCTGTCAACCTGTGAGGCTAAGTATGTGGCGGCCTCTTGGAGTGTGTGTCATGCAGTTTGACTTTCAAATTTACTAAGGCATCTGGCAGTGATCCAAGACGAAAGGACTGTAATTCGAGTTGACAACAAGTCGGCAATCGAGTTGGCAAAAAACCCGATTAATCATGGAATGAGCAAGCACATTGATGTCCGATTTCATTTCATCCGAAAACAAGTTAGAGAAGGAAAGGTTGAGCTGGAGCATGTTGAAAGTCGAGCTTAAGCTGTTGACATATTCACCAAACCACTTCCAACTACACTGCTGGAGAGTTGTAGAAGGCTTATTGGAATAAGAGATGGGAAGAGTATTTAAGTTTAAGGGAGAGATTTATTGTAAAACTTAAATTAGATGTTTAGTATTCCTATAATAATATTAATGGTTTTAATTACAAGTGGTATAACTAATGGGTTGTAAACCTATTTAATAGGTATTATGATTTATGTTTGGCATTTGAAGAGGCAAATAATTTGGCCATAAATAATTGTAACAACTCATTTGAAATTGCATCACGAGAAAAATTGAGAGCGTTGTTTTGTTTTCCTGTTACCAACAGGTTCTTCCTTGATTTTCTGGAATCTAAGAAGCAATCTACTGTCTCTGTTTCATCCTCCGAAGTAGAATATCGAGCATTAGTCAGCCTCATTTGTGAAATTCAATTGTTACATTATCTTTTTTGTGATTTTTATGTTTTATTGGGTCCTACTGCAGTCTATTGTGACAATCAGTCTGTCATTTACTTAGCTCATAATTCTGTGTTTCATGAGTGCATTAAACACATCGAGATCAATTGTCATATGGGTCATGAGAAAATTCGACAAGGTTTAATTCATTTTTTTCTTGTTTCGTTTTCCAACCAATTTACATATACTTCTATTAAACTTCTTCATCATACAACTTTTGACAATTCTATATCCTAGTCTGGTCTTTGTGACATCCACCATCCAACTGGAGAGAGTATTATCATAATTGTTTTTCTATAACAAATCATATTTTTCCCTTTTTTTTACTATTTTTAATTGTAACATATTCTTTCTTTTTTGTTTTAAGAGACTATATATATATATATATATATATATATATATATATATATATATATATATAATTATATAATCTGATTGTACTCCTTTTTTATTATACTCCTTTTTATTATGTGAAATTTTAATAAAAATAAATAAATTTCACACGCATGAATAGTAAAAATATTGACTTTATTTAAATTTATATATATATATATATATAATACTTATTATAGAATAAAAATTAAAAATTATTTATATTTATATTTTTTATAATTGAATATAATATTTTATTAAATTATAAAAAAAGTATGAAGACGAAAAATAAAATTTTAACTATTTTTTAAAATAAAAAAATAATAATTCTTTATATATATATATATATATATATATATATATATATATATATATATATATATATATATATATATATATATATATATATATAATGTCTCTGTCTTAAAAAAATCAACTTTAAGACAAGTGTGGTTACGTATTAAAAAAACAATTTTTTTATATAACAATTATGTAGAAATTGAGAAAGATTTTATTCTATACAATAAAAAGTTAAAGAGAGAGAGAGAGAGGGTGCGCGCATACAGTATGGTTTTAGTTTATGGTATCATTGTTGGCGCATTGAAACGGCGCATACATAGCCGCCGTGGCGTGGCGTGACTCCGCAGTTTTAGCACAAAACCTGTGGGTTGGCTAAACCCTCACTCCAACCCAACCACAAAACCATGGGCAGTTTTCTTTTTCCTCTGCTCCATCAACTAAACCAGTTGCTTGGAAACCCAACATATTACACTCTCCTGTTATATTATCTTTACCCTTCACTTTCCCCAACAACACAATCTATCACCAACTCCTATGCAATCCCATCCTAATTTCTGCCATTTCACTATTTCTCCCTCCTCTTTCGCTCTCCCTCCTCTTTCCTTCATCCATGTTCATCTTCCTGCACCTTTTTTTCTCTGTTCAGCTATTCGATTAAGGGGTAAGAGCCTTTCTTCCAAAGTTTGTAGCTTTTGCTTGATTAGTTGAGTTTTGAAAACTTGGTGTTTGTTGTTGATGGAACCCAATGGACTAGGCGGTGGAATGTTCTCTGGGTTGGTAGGAGTGGAGAACTCTTTGCAATCTGAGCAACAACAAAACCCTCACCACTTGCAACACCATCCCCAAATGCTTCCCTATGCCCCACACCATGGCACTGATCCACATCATCCACACCATAATCAATCGATTAAACAAGGGTACCCTGCCTATTCTTCGGCCAAGACCAAACAACAGCAACAAAGTGTCCTCAGTGATGATGATGATGACACCTCGGACGCCAAGAGGAAGATCTCGCCGTGGCAAAGAATGAAGTGGACCGACACCATGGTGAGGCTTCTGATAATGGCGGTTTATTACATTGGTGATGAGGCTGGCTCTGAAGGGACTGATAAGAAGAAGTCCTCGGGTTTAATGCAGAAGAAAGGGAAATGGAAGTCGGTCTCAAAGGCTATGATGGAGAAGGGGTTCTATGTCTCTCCCCAGCAGTGTGAGGATAAGTTCAATGACTTGAATAAGAGGTATAAGAGGGTGAATGATATTCTTGGCAAGGGAACTGCTTGCAGGGTTGTGGAGAATCAGAATTTGTTGGAAACGATGGACTTGTCACCAAAGATGAAAGAGGAGGTTAAGAAGTTACTCAATTCCAAGCATTTGTTCTTCAGGGAAATGTGTGCTTACCATAATAGTTGTGGTCATGGAAATAACACTGCTCCACAGCAAGGAGAGACTGGGGGTGAGGTATCTCAGTCTCCCGCTCAACCACAGCAACAGCAGCAACAACAACGTTGTTTTCATTCATCGGAAGTGGGGAATTTGGGGGGTTCTGGGGTAGAGGGTTTGAGGATGTTGAAAATGGGAAGTGGAGAAGAGAATGGTGATGATTCGGATGAGGATGATGAGTCCGAGGAAGACTCGGATGAGGATGAAAATGATTCAGGAGAAGGTGGTTCAAAGGGTAATGTGGGACATGGACACGAGGATATTGAGGATGATAATGATGGAAGGTCAACGAGGAAGAGGGCAAGGAAAGTTAGGGGGGTTCCTGTGTCACCACAGATGATGCAGCAACTGAGTGCTGAGGTGAGTGGTGTGTTACAAGATGGCGGTAGGAGTGCTTGGGACAAGAAGCAATGGATGAGGAGCAGGATAATACAGTTGGAGGAGCAGCAATTAAGCTATCAAACTCAATCGTATGAGTTGGAGAAACAAAGGTTGAAATGGGCAAGGTTTAGCAGCAAGAAGGAGAGGGAGATGGAGAGAGCGAAACTTGAAAATGAACGAAGGAGGCTTGAGAATGAGAGAATGGTTTTACTCATTCGCCAGAAAGAACTTGAACTGATGAGTATTCAACACCAACAGCAGCATCAACAACAACATTCTTCCACATAGATCTCGGGGTAATGATTTTGCTGGGGTTAGTTGTCTGACAGATGAATCCTTGGTATAGAAAAAAACATATAGATTGATTAGGCCAAGAAACTAGTTGTTCTCGTTTTGGGGTCTTGCTAAGTTAGTTCTTACTGAAGAAAACGAAAATATTGACATGGCTGTACCTACCATCTAGATACCCTTTGTTTATTTAAATATGCTCTGCTAATTTGGTTCTCACTGTTTTGGTTTTAAGCCATGATGAACATAATATATCTCGTCCTAATTTCAAAACTGTGGAGGGGAAAAAATTAATAATTCACGCCCGGTGGGACTCGAACCCACAATCGCCTGATTAGAAGTCAGGCGCCTTATCCATTAGGCCACAGGCGCTTATACATCAAACAAGTAACAATTTTACTATAAATTAAAACATTTTTCTGTACCATGTTCATTTTTTGCCATACACTTCCTTAACAGCATGATGTGAAATCACTACACATTGCACAAATTGAAATATCTCAAGATCAAGTTGTTTTCTGCTTTTCAGCCGTCATCATTCCTTAATGATATTAATTCTTCATCCATAATGTGACATCATTTTTCCACTAATTCCATAAAAAAGGTTGCAATGGGGACAACCCATAACGATGTATTTATCTTTTTTATACGGCATAAAATGTTTATTTTGTATACTAACGTCCAATCAACTACGGTTCTACTAATTCACTAAATTTTCCTCTAAAACGTTACTTACCGAACCTGAATGAATCATGGCAATTTAGGCACTTAATTAATACATCATCATTTTGATTCACACTCCGTTCACCATTAAACACGTAGTTCTTGCTCCTATGACCGTAATATAAAAACTAGACAATAAAAATATGCTTATAAACTATTGTGTCTGAAATAACAAGCTTTTGGAATATCATTTGTTTGGTAATACAATAATCACATTTTCGAGCTGTGTTCTAGTATGAATACTAAACCCAAAAATTGGCATCAAGGGCACATTCCCTTGATTTTATCTTCGACAGCTAGTAATAATTTGCAACCAAAATTCGTTTCATCAAAACCAAGTAGAGATAACCTCTACTTGTGGCAGAATGACCTGCATCTTTGAAAAACTAGGGAAAGATGTAAAATAAATAAATAACACTAAAACTGTAGTTGGTTGAATGCGCTTTAATCTTCAAGCTCAATAATCTTAACCACAGATGCATCACCAAGTTTCTGGCAAACAACTACCCGGTCGTGTGATTTTATAACTCCCAATGCTTTTCCATGATCAAGGGCAACCTTAAGTATAGACTCGTTTGTTGCACTTGTTGACTCAGCCTGCAAAAGCATAGAGTATGAGATTAACATACATCCTACGTAATAATGCGGTGCATGTTAAGTAAGATGCATAACAGTATTGGACATTTATACATGCCAGTGCCACTACATGAACAAAGCATCATTAATACAAGTCCCATGCAGAGTGAAGATTATGAGTGCCAACTGTGTGTAGGTGGAATCACAACAAGGGTTAGCCACCAGGCTGATCATAACTGAAAAAAAAAATAAAACCTTGCATCTAGATCTCTCTAGACAGAATATGCATTGAAGCTGTCACCAACAAGACATAACCCTAAGTACAGTTCACCTTGATCCTGATTTAGCATCTAATGTAATGTGTACCGGAAAAGAACAATCACAACAGAACAATGCTTATCAACTAAAGAAACAATTATAGTATAAATTATCAACAAAAACTTACAGGATGTCGAGGATCAGCAAGCATAGGAAAGAGACCCCTCACAATAAGTGATTGTCTTGCCTGTGTCACAAATTGAATTCATCATAAGTTTGGTAAAACAAGTCCGTTCTGGTGATTAGATGCAAGTTGGCAGTTGGACTCAGAAATGACAAACTGAATAAATTGTTCTTTAAAAATAAAAGGAAAAAAAAAAGTTGAAAAGCACGACTTAATTAGCAATTCTTAGCACCCCAACTCTTCATACATACACATTCAACCCAATAACAATTAGATAATTAATAGAAACAAGCAGCAAAATCAAAATTTAACCTCAAAAGCTCCACTGAAGCTCCACTTTAGCTGATTTGTCTTTAGTCGGGGTATTACAACAGATAGAACTGGCATGGTCGGCCTATATTTAGCAATCAATCTGGCAAGTACATATAACATTTTTAGACAGACAGTTTTATGGATATAGGTGAAATGAAAATGCAGGACAGAGAGAAATGATATGGACAATCTTGAAGGATAGTGTTTGTTAGCCAAGCCTCACCCAATTTGAGGGCGACAGTTTTTTTTTTTTCAAAATACTAAAAATGAAAACATTGATATCTACTTTCTCATAAAGAAATTGAGAAAGTACCTCGCAGCCCTTCCAGATGAAGTGAAACAAATTATAATAGATGCCTTCACCTTAATTGCAGCTCGTACCTAACAAGTAAAGATTAACTTGTAAGAAAGAACCTACTTTCAATGATCAAATCAAATCAACCAACATGTCAATAAAGTAAAAACATAGAGCATATTATTAAAGAAATGAGAAAAAGGTAAATGTAACTACCGCTGAGGATGCAATAGATTCCAAGTGGGACATGGGTTCTCCAACATACTTGACAGTCTTCTTAAAATAAAGGTCTTGATTGAAAACTTTCTCAGCCTACAAGGACAAGAAACAGAATGTAGAAATTCAGCCAAAATTGAGACATTTAAAATAGGAGAACACTTCATATGATTCAAATGAATTCCCAATAATAGATTTGCAGAACAAATGCCACACCAAGTTAAACTCCTAAAAGATAGAAAAATGAGAAAACAAAACGATTGATTTTATTTACTAATAATAAACAGCACAACTAGAAAGATCTTGCCTCCAAGGGCTCACCGCTTGGTGACAGTTTCCCTTTTCTACAACAGAACTCACGCTCAGTTCTCAACAACGGCATAGAAACAGAATGTCAGTCTCTTCTAGCTCTCGTACTGATATGCTCTAGTCCTTCCACCTCTAACTTTCGTTCTAACTATTGATATTTCATACCCTGATATTACTAACTGTTGATATTTGAGAGTCTCTACAGATGTAAACAGAATAACATTACTTTTCATGCTTTAATTCAAAATGTGATATGAAAGCGTCTTAAAAGTTAAATTACCAGAAATGACTGGATTTTTTTTTAACAATATACACAACCAATTTTTTTATTGAAACAGAATACTGGATAGAAATTTGTACTGTACACAGCATTCATCTTCATACTATGCGCACACTAAGCACAGGCTCAAGGACTCGATTAAACCATTAACCACAATCATATCAATAGTAAACTTGCATGTAAACGTGAGCTAAAGTTAATGAACCTACACTAATATTATGTAAGTTCACATTAAGAAACTTACACAAAGACCTTAATCAAGTCTTGTTTGGCTTGTTTATCGTGGAAAATGAATAGATTTATTAAACAAAAAAAAACAATCTGGTTGTAAAATAAAAATAGTATCTTAAAGCAAAAAGGCAGTATGTTATTATATTGGAAAAAGTTTGTGCACAAAGCATTGAATTTAAATCCAGCAGTTTAGTTCAGAGCCCAGACCACATCATATTCAACCCAATCCATTAATATATTGATTTCCCACAACATATGTCAGGTGGAAGCTCCTGATTAAATACTGACACCATGTTAGTTTTGACACATCTGGTAGTCTCATATCAAGTCTTCTGAACAGAATGGATCAAGCACTGGCAAGTTCATACAATAAAAAAACAGAAAGGTATTTAGTAACACCATGATGGCATATATTAACTCTGAAATTTCCCCCAATCAAACAGTTGTATTATTAAGTGTTAGTGATAACAAATTGGACAATAATTAAAGAGAAGAGGGAATAAATTGTATTATATCTCATCTTATGTATATCAGAGAAATAACAGTGACAGTGGAGCTAAAACATGCAAGAAAGATGAATAAGAACAGAAAAATCTGGATAGCTCAGGCAATTTTAAGAGTACCTGATTCCCCTTTTTCCTAATCTTTATTCACATTTTCCATACACCTTACATCCCATATTACTCAATTGTGGGATTTAGGCATCCCATAATACCCAAAAGTTCCAATCATAGCACTGCCCCTAAGGGTGGAAGTCACTAGGTAGCCCTTTCCAATACATCGACAACCAACTCTAACCAATTGATAAGTACTCAAGCACTTGGGAACCATTCAAAACTAGCTACTAAGGAAGGAGAACCAAGTACTTAATACTCCACTGAGCATCCAATACCAACAAATGTGGGACTTGGGCACCCAAAATACCCAAGTTCCTATCACCTGCCAACCCAATCAGCACTCTCCTTCCACCTAGGCAATAAGTTAGCTCAAGCCAAAAGTCCTTTGCTGCCTTGGATTCATATCCCCCACTTTTCCTAAACCTTTCCCAAAATACTCCTTAGACTGTCGCAGGAGTCAATCATTAATAGTTCACAAGAAAGCTATCAACCCATTAAAGATTCACTTACGTAACAGAGGTCCAACATAAAGAGTATTTTGGTCAGAAACCATAAAACATGCATCAACACTTCAGGAGTTGAGAACAAATCTAATGTATTGAACATAATTAAGGAGATATAAAATGAACTTTTACCTCTGAACAAATTCTGCCAACAGTAGAAATAGTCTCAACAGGATACAACCCACGTAAAGTCTCAGCACCCAGAAGTATAGCATCACTTCCTGTAAATTATTTAAGTTTAATGAACAAATAAATCAAGTGATTGTAACTAAAACACAGTGGACAAGCAATGATAAAAGACACAATCATTTAGTGTCTTTGATGAAATCATTGTAAATTAAAAACCATTTACATGTAAAAGAGAATTATGTCCCAACTGTCTTTGAAGAATGATAAGAAATGATCATGTATCATATGTCACAAGAAAACATGCAACTATGCATAAACCAAACAGCTTGGTTCTAGTGGTTACCAACCTAACAAGTGGCGTTATATGAAAACTTACCATCTAAAACAGCATTGGCAACATCAGTGGCTTCAGCACGGGTGGGTCTCAAGTTGTCAGTCATGCTATCCACAACACGTGTAAGCACAGCAGGCTTCCCAGCCATATTACACTTGTAAAGGGCAGATTTTTGAAATAAAAACACCTACAAAAGCAAATAGAAAATAATTAATACAAATATCATTGCAAAAGTCAGTCTTAGAACTATTCAGCATCCACTAATTAAAATGGTAACAGACACATAATAGTCATAAGAGGCAATGGCATAGGCAGTAATTCATTAAGCTGATTCAGCTAAAACATACTACATTTTCCTCACAGCATAATCATTAAATTTTAAAGTTCCAATTTTGACCCCTGAATTCTGAAATTTTGCGAATACCAAGTATTACAATCAAAGAGTAAAGACTGAAAGGAAAATCTGAAAGTGAAATTGTATTTCTCACTCTCTCAACCTGAGAGAGAGTACATTCAGATAGACTCTGAGAAGAGTCTCGGGCAAGCTATACAAGGCGCTGACTCAGCACTTATACAACAGAAATAATAGCTAGCCTAACTAAGAAGGGAAGGATTCTTACTACAGTAGTATTATACAACCACTATATAATGGCCAAAAATAGTTGCAATGTCTATATCTCTAACATAGAATAAGTCAGATCAAAACTAATCTTATTTTGTCAAGATACTGCAAGACAACAAAACCCTACAAAATAAACTTAACACAGAAATTTACCTTCTCTGGTGGAAGATCAATACCCAAATTTCCACGGGAAAGGATAATTCCGTCAGCTTCTTGTAAAATTTCATCAAAATGGGTCAATCCCTAAGAAACAAGAGACACAGATGTTCATATGTAAATGAATTGGTATAGCCAATGATAACTTCTGCCAAAAAAGAAGTCAGCTCAGTGTGTTACGAACATCTATGCGAACTCACCTCAACATTTTCAATCTTTGCAAAAATTTGAGTCTGGCTAATATCACCTAACTTTGAAAGGAATTCGCGTGCCTGCATTACATAAATATATAAAGATTCATTAATAGAAAACTGAAACATCAAAATAACATTAAATTTAAATACCAAATATTTTGAGTTTATGATGACAGCCCAAAGTAATGGATTTTGAACTAAAATTACCTGGCGAACATCTTCAGCATGTCGAGTATATGACAATGACAGAAAATCAATTTTGTTTTTAACTCCCCAGGTGCTTATAACCTGAAACAGACAAACGAAAAAGAAAAATAAACCCAAAACTAAGGAAGCCTATTTCCAAGGCACGGACAAACAATACATGTGCAATGGAAGGTAAATCATTCAAACAAGCTAATCAAAAGCATAACTTACCTCCTTGTCTTTCTCGGTGAGTGTAGGCAAATCAATATGAATTTGAGAGGCATGCAAAGTGAACAGTGACCCAGCCAATGTAGCCGAATTCTTTATAATACAAACAACATCTTGCCCTGTGACTTCAGATACCTGCAGAACTCATCATGCATGTAGAAGGATGAATACTCCTTTATATGTCTAAGGTCACACTTAGACTAGGAACATATGAATTCAGAAAATTTCAATTTCAATAAATAACACTATGGACTAAGAAACCCAATGAAAAGGACCAAAATAAATAATTTAAGAAGCTATTGAAGCACACTAAAGTAACAATAAAAAGGGACCTATTCGAATAAATTTTGCACCTGGGTTCAATAATATTACCTCTAGCCATACAGAAGTAGTTTCACTTCCTGTGAACAAGTATTGACCAATAAAAATAGTGTCTCCCTTCTTCACTACCTATGAACAATAAAGAATAAAGATCAACAATAAGAAGCGATCATTTGTCCAGCAAGAATTTTATAAAAATTATGCAAGAAACAAATTATAATAATCCAAGGAGTAACAAAGAAAATTTACGAGTTGGAATCAAGAAAAATCAGAGTTAACTGTTACTAAGATCCAGGCAAGAGTTATAGCTAAAATTGAACATAGTAGGGAAAATTTTAAGTTAAATTGAACATAGAAAGGAAAAATTTAACTCAAATTGAACATAGATAAAATTAATAGCTAATTCAAGACACAGTCAGTCAACTTAGATGGGAAAAAGAAACCGACTCCAAGCATAAACTGCACAGGCAGTAAAAGTGTAAAATGTTAATTAGAATAAATCATTTGGGTTAATATTCCGTGGAAACAATGTACATGAAAGAAAATCGCATCATATGACGACAAGACAGAAAGTATCAACAAACCTTAGCCAGGCCATCAAAATTGATAGGCAATATTTCAGAAGAGGCTTCTTGTCCGGCATCAGGAGTTAGAACAACCTGAGCATTTGCCTCAAGCGAGATAGCTTTCTCACTTTTGTTAACGACCTGCATCTCAGCACCCACCGTGTCCAGCATAACCTGTCAAAATCAAATAACAAACTCTCAGCAAACTTAAATCCCAACAGAAGTGGAAAAATAAAATACAAGAATACAGAAACCAAAGATTCCTGAAGTGACTAAAAGAGCCCCACTTCATGTTGACAGGACAGACGGTAAACATTAAAAAAATAGTACGTTTCAGTTTGTATACTTATAACCAAAACAACCAACTTTCAAAAGGGAAGAAACGTAAAAACTGATATGTTGGCATAGCCCTCTTTCAGCCACATTTTCCCCATGAAACAAACTGAACTCTCCGCTCTCTAGCACCAGGGTAACTTGAGACATTATTAGAAACAACGGAGAAGGAAGAAAACTCACAGCACATAGCTTCTTAGTACTCTTGATAGCAACCTTCAGGTTCTCCAATGTCTCCTGATGATACTCAGGGTCATGCCACGAAAAGTCAAATCGTGCCACTACAACAAACAATAACAAAAATCAGACAATCCATAAGAAAAATAAAAACACACACACACACACACACAAAAACCCTCCACCAGTTTTTCAGCAAAGCCCCAAACTTTCATAATCTAAGGAAAAAAAATAAAAAAAGGGGGAAAAGGTGTAACATAGCATACCAGACATGCCAGCCTTGAGACAATTAGAAATAGTTTCAACGGATCTAGATTTAGGACCCAGAGTACCAACAATCTTGGTCATTGCTGGGAAAAAACTCTGCCAAAAATACAATCTTTTTTTATAATATTTATAAAATAGATCCATATATTGAAAAGGAAAAGGGGAAGAAAAACTAACAGGCTTGGATGGCTCCAGGATGGAGACCATCCTAATGGGTTCCTCGAGAAGCAAGTGACTAGAAGGCATGTTTGAAGATCGATCAACGAATATCACTTCAACCGCAACAAAACCTAATCAAAACCAAAACGCGAGGAATTGAAGAGTGACGGCGGTTTTCCCTAGACCAAACCAAAGGCAAACACAAACGGTGTTCTAGAAAAAAAAGGAATGAAGGAAATGAATACTTTAAAAGAATATTCTCTTTTGCTCTCTCTATGATATATCGTTCTCTCTCTCTCTCTTTTTCTCACTCTTCCTTGGTTTGTTTGATTTTCAACTCTCTCGTAAATGGGGTTTGAGAGTGTCTTGTTTCGTTTTTTATGTTTAACAGTGTGTGGTGATAAAAAACCGGGAAAAAAAAATTTATATGCCACGTGGTAAGAAAAGCCAGCTGTCGGATGGGACCCACGGTGTTTGAGAACCGTGCTTTTTGTGCGATAGACCTGTAACTGAAAAGTAGTACGATGACTACGGTCTTGGGATGTTTTTTTTTGTTTTGTTTTTTATCATTTCTATTTATCTGTGTGTGTTCTCGTAAGGGAACGTAAGTGCTAGGTTGGGAGCATATTAGGTGAAAGCAATGGTAATGGGTGAGGCACGTGGTGCTTGAGGCTGCGTTCATAGTGGCACGTGACTGGAGGAGTTAGGTGACGCGAGTGCAGATGGCGTGGAACGCATGGTGGTGTCGCGTGCGAGTTAAGCTGCTTTTTCAATTCCAGTTGTTTGGTTCAAAGAATTCTATTAAGTAAAAAGAGAATAAGTAGGTAGAGTAGAATAAGATACTACTAAAATTTGAATTATATATATATATATATATATATATATATATATATATATAGTTATTTTATATATTGATCGAAATTTATTGGTGGATTTTAGTAAGCTTTATGTTTCATTTAATAATTCTTTCTATTTATTTAATCAGTTTTAATGAAATTTAACAATAATAAAAAAACACTACTATTTCTTTATGTTTAAGATATTTTGATTTTGTGTCTATTGTAATAATATTTGGGATTATTTTATGTTTTGAAATTTTATTCTATTATATATATATATATATATATATATTTTAAATTGATAGAATAAATATTTATTGTTATTACTAAAGTTTGTAAAAATATAATTTTAAACGTGAAAATATTAGTCTTCTTAACTTTCTGTTAGCGAAATTTTAGATATCATTAGCATTTTCAAATGGATTTCAATCCAAAAAGTCAAAATGGGAAAAGTTGGATGGTCTTTCTCAACAAAAGCGTTAGTTTGTTGGTGTAGTCCAAGATAGATGGATAGAATGAAAAATAAATATTAATTTTATTTAATATTTAATCAGCATCATCTGAAAATACAGTGCTTATTGGCGTTCAAAAACTTAACTTCGTTAATTGAACTAAATCAAATTACTAAAAGCTGAACTAAATATTTGTTAATAATTTAGTTTTAAAGAAATGAATTAAAAAAAAAAACAGTTAGCTTTTTTATGAAAACAACTATTTATAATTTACTTTTTTTAAAACTAGACTACTTAAAAAAACTATTTAAACTATAATTATAGTTTAAAAAAACTTATTTATATAGTTATCCACTATCAGTTCGAAGTGGCAAACTCTTTTTAAAAAAAAATTCATGTGAATTTTTACCAGTAAAATAAAATATAAGTTTTGAAAAAAAATTAAAATTGTTTCAATATTAAGAAAAAAATTACTAACATAAAAAATAGTAGTTTTATTGATGTAAAATTCATGGAAATTATGAATATTCATCTGACAGATAAAATTTTATTATTAAAAGAATATTAACAGATTTGATGAGTCTGTGAGTAAACACCTATATATCTAAATAAAAAATTATTATGAATAATTATTAATTTGAACTATCAAAAAAATATCTTAAAAAAAATGTGTTTTAAGCAATAATTATTAATGGATATAGTAATTATTGATGGATAATGGACGATAAGTAAGTGTCGTTCTATTCTTTATGTTATTTGTTGACGATTATTTTCTTCTTTTAATGTTAATCGACTAAATTTTTCAATTTTTTTCAACAAAATATTTGTCTTTTTTTAACTAGTCTTACACATAATAATAATAATAATAATAATAATAATAATAATAATATATTATCAAATGAAGTATTAAATTATTAAAATATATCAAATTCAATTCAATTATAATTTTAAGAAAATATAATCTCAATTCAGCACAAATAAACTTAAATATATATATATATATATATATATATATATATATATATATATCCAAATTAAGTATCATTGAAATTAAATTTAATTTAAATTATTCACAATCAAACTTTATAAAATAAAATAATATGAACAAGTTGGTATATAAAATATAAATAAACTAAGTAAAAATATAAATTTAAAGTATTTATTTTATTTAAAACTTTATTGTATGACAATTCTTATAATTAACAACAATAAAACATAATATGAAAAGATAAGTTCTTTATTGAATTTGCATCATTTGTTAAACGAGTTTGACTATAATCAAATGAATAGACGGACAAAAAGAATAATGTTTCAATAGTCCTACCACATGCTAATTTCCTAGTAAACCATTTTCAATAGTCACTTCTTATCTTTTCTAAAGTTTTAAAGTCTCTTAAAATAATCCTTAAAAATAAAGTTTAATGTAAAAAAAAAAAAACAAAACAAAAGAAAGCATTACCTATACATAAATAACACACAAATCCTATAAATAAAAAACTGAAATGCCAAATATAAATTTGCATTCATCGTATCAAAATCATTTAAAAATAGGGTAACAATAGAAATGTTAGTTAAAGAGAACTACGACTATATATTGTCTAAAATAACAATTCAATTCAATTATTTTCTTCTTTAAATTTAAAAAAATCAACATGAATCAATCAATTAAGAAGATGTGCTAAAATAAAAAGGAGGACAAACTAAGAAGCAAGCATAAGACTAGATTGAACAGCAAAAAAAGTTACCTTGAGATAAAAAAAATGTCATATATATTAAACTACATAATGCAAGTAAGTCATTCCATAATACACATTAAACATTAATATAGTTTGTAATGTTTCTATGCTTTTAATATTGTTTCTTAGAGCAGATAGGAGACTATGGTACTTGCAGATTATGAAGGATCCAATTGGGATGATAGTGAGACCCTTTTAAAATGAATGTTTTAACAAGATGCATTATAAGAAGGAAATACCAACTTACAAATGGTTATGAGCCAAGTAAAGCTCCAAAAATCATGTAGGTAAATATTAACTTTAAAGAGAAAACGGGACAAAAGTTTATATCATATATATTTTTGTTTGTTTTAGGTAGAATATTATGTAGGAAAGTTAAGAATTTTTACATGTGTTTGTTTTTCTCTTCTCCTTTATCGTCAATCTAAAACAAGCTATGTTTCAAATCATCACTCCAAAACTATGTCATCTTGTGAATCACATATATGCCTTAATTCATCCTTAATCATTTAGATAATTTTCTTGTGTAGATAAATAGATATACGAACCAAAAGTTTTCATCTATTCAATCAAATGATGTATATGCAATCTCCATCACACCACCTTCCATAACCAAACAAAATCAACGAAACAAAAGTTTAAACCTACTGTAATTCTTTCATATAATTTCTTATTATACAATCTCTATCACACTATATTCCATAGCCAAACAAAACAAAAGTTGGGACCTCACGTAGTTCTTTAATATAATTTCTTATTATGAATAAAAGTTTTTCTTTTTTTTCAGAGTTAACTAGGGACGTTGGTTTGAAACCTCTTACCGTTTTTTTTTTTTTTCTATAACCCAAACATTTAATAAAACTTATACGATTAGAAAATCTAGAAATAAAATGAGCCTTAGAAATGTATTTGTTGGTAGTTAACATCTTACGTTATGCAAAATGTTTTTCACACTTCAAAAATTAAAAAAATAATATTTATTGTCTTCCATAAAAAAGAGAAAAAACATTATTTTGGTTATACTGAGTGATTTATTAGAGATTTTGTGAATGAATTTAACTTTTTGTGATTTTCTTATAAGATGTCACCTGTGTATATATTTTTCATAAGAATATTGTGACTAATTTTCTACAATTTTTTTGTTATATTGATTAATATTTGAAAATATTATTATGAATATATAATGAAATTGATTTGATATCAATATTAAGGGTTATAAACTAAGATTATGCAAGTAGTAGGTCAAATGTACATAATTATGAAAATGTATATTGTCTATTAAAGATAAAATGATGTAATATGTGAATGTTAGAAATGTTTTAAAAACACTTTATCATATGCTTGGCTTTGGTACATGACAGGCAAAAATATATATAGAATCTAACTAGAAAATATTAAGTTAGTGGAATAAAGTTGTGATGTGAAAGTATTCATAAATAAAAGTGAAGTTATGATAATGAGAGTAGTAATAATTATGTAAGAAAGTCAATATGAATTGTTAATGAAAAAAAAAATATAGATTGGACATTAAGTATAAAAAAGTTGTTAGTGATACAACGAAAGTAAAATTAAGAAAAACAAAATGAAAAATTATTAATATCGTCTTAAAATAAAGATAAATATTTAATAATTTAAATCATTTTTCTTTTAATAATAGGTGAATATAAACATGAAAGAATACATTAATTAACTTAGTTTATATTTAAATTTTGTATTTTCTTTTAAATTATTAATGATAAATTCAAATGATGGATGAATTTTATTTATATTTACAAAGTTTAACTTTTATTTCAATTTAATAACATGTTTCTATTATAAAAAGTTTTCACATGATGTTTATAATTTAAAAGTGTACACATTTCAATACTTAAATAATGTCCTTTTAAGAGGTTAAGAACAATATCAACTACTTTACCGTCAAACAAAATTGATAATTATTATTAATAATAAAAATCCGTAATACTTAAATAATATAAAATATAAAATAAATTGAATATTAATTTATAATATTCAAATTTATTCTTAATAGTAACATTAACGAGAATGTAATCTCTGTTGTAATAATATTATTCAAATAAATTATTTTTAATTATTTTTCATTTTAAAACTTTTGTTTATTATAATTTTGTTCTTAAGAAATATATCATAAAAAAATTATATAAATTATTTTTTACTTCTATTCCTAATAATATAAAACTAATCATAATAATATTAATAAAAATTTCTATCCTTTTCAATATTTAATTTATAATATTTTTCATATTTTCATTATCATTAAAGTTATGTCCATCTTTCACCCCTTCCTTTCCCTTTCCTAAATTTAATGTAATTTTTGTCTTCTCCAATTGTATTTGTCTCAGTGAAGTATTACAAAGGTTCTTTGAACTTGATTTCCATATCAAAATTCATTCATTTCAAGTTAAGATAAATTCTTCTTCAACATCATCGTTCCATCAAATTCTTCTAAAATTTGCTCATCCCGAAAGAAATTGCGTGATAGTTCAAAATGATGAGATAAATACAAGTTATTTAGGTTAATTAAGATGAATATTAATATAAAAATAAAATAATTAAATAAAACAATAAAATATATAACAATCTAATTCAATAAATTATGATAAATTAAAAAAATTGACATTAAAACATAATTTATTTATTTTCAATTATTGATAATGTAGATTTTTAATAATATCAATTAGAACGTGTAATCAAATTACTGACAATATTAATATTAATATTATTATCATGGTATAATTTGATATTATTAAGTTGTTAATCACATTTTTATTATTGTTGTAATGGAAATTAACAATAGGAAAAAATTATTTAGAATTTATAAAGATGAAAGATAATTTATTGTAAGAACTAAAAATGAAAACATGAATAATTAAATGAGTGAAAAATATTTAAATTTAAGATATTATTTAAAAATGATATATATTTTTTCATTGCGAACACGTGAAAGTTGGCCCAAACAAACAGTTGAGTTGGATAAGCATGGCCCGTCACCGGCAGATCCAAATCCCCCCACTCAAGGACTAGCAAAAGCGCGTGTAATGCACTCGTTCTTGGCACTTAACGGGACCGTCACCACGCGTGACGGCAAATACCAGACCCACTCACGGAAGGCACGCTCCGTCAAACCCTCCCACACACACCTTCTCTCAACGCCCTATTCTCTTTCCCTAACGTCCCCGACGACGCCGTAACGTCCTCCCTCACCCTTATGGCCTCTTGCGACGACGACGACGACTTTTCTCTCCTCCGTGACGACAACCACCACCTCCATCAATCCTACGCGCCGCACCACCACTTCTCCCCCGCCGCCGTCGCCGTCGCCCCCGTCCCGCCCAAACCCGTCGCCGACGATGCTGAGGACTATGGAAACCCCTTCGACGACGACGGCGGCAGCGAGAAACGGAAGGACCGCGAGGAGATCGGTGAGGGAGCCACGTCTTACGGATTCAACAAGAGATCTAAGGCTCCGCCGTCGAGCACCGGCAGCGCCGAGTACCGGAAGGACAGGGAAGAGTGGAGTGACACGGCAATCGTGTGCCTCCTCGACGTGTACACGGATAAGTTCACACAGCTGAATCGGGGAAACCTGAGAGGAAGGGATTGGGAGGATGTTGCGTTGCTGGTGAGCCAACGGTGCGATAACCAATCGAAGAGCGTGGAACAGTGTAAGAACAAGGTCGATAACCTAAAGAAGAGGTACAAATTGGAGCGACATAGGATGAGCAGTGGCTGCATTTCCACCAGTCACTGGCCTTGGTTCAAGCAATTGGAACAGATCGTCGGGAATTCTCTTCCGGCGAAGTTCTCCGATGAGGATAAAGCGGTTGTTTCTGCTGGAACTTCGCCCAGGCAATCAAAGAGGTATTTTATTCAGCATGCAGCACCGTAATATTTAATTGTGTCATTGCATCTGCATACAAGTGCTAGTAGTTCACATTGATAATTATGGCGTTATTATATTCAACATAGGATTTGTTTATTTATTTTCTGATTTTGGCTTGGTATATCTAGTGCCTGAATCTGTTCGTTTGCTGCATCATAAATACTTAATTTAATCGGGATGCTTGAAGATTGGAATATTGTAAAGCTTTATGATATTACTTTGTAGCACAACTGTGCATCATGTTATGGTTAGTAGAATGTAGAATGTTTGCTTTTACGTTATGTAGGTTTTTGTCATGTTATTCGTGGACTAGACTTTAGAATTGGTTCTTGGAATAAATAGGGGTTTGTGGTTTTGATTGAATCTGAAAACTTGTTTACTTTAGTTGTTATCTGTAGTGTGTTATTATTTCGATGTAGTATCTTATGGTACATTAATTAGTGTATTGTTGTTATTATGCTATGTTTCGCTGTGCTTTATGTCCACAGAGGATTTGTCCATTTTGTTTCTGATATGTACCTTCATTATCCTTGTACTTGAATTTGCAGATGGTTACAACTTGGAATGATGAATAACTATTTTACTTTTCAGTACAAGTGTGCACATGTTACAGTTTGTAGAATATTAGCATTGAATGGTCTTGGTTTTTTGTCATTTCATTTACACATTAGTTTGGGATATTAAATAGGATTTGGAATTAATATCAATCTATGGGTTTGAATGATGCTGAAAATTTGACGTTCCCTTCATTGTTGTTGCAAATAAGCTAATGCTATATTCACTGGCACACTTCTGAGTGACAAATCATAAGGGGGTGACATTTCCAATTTACAATGGCAGGTGGTGTTAGTAGGATGGAGATTTTGATGATGAATCTCATTCAATATGAATTGTTTTTCTCTTTCCTTTTCCTAGTTTTTGTGAAAATGACAAGTGAATGTTGAGCTTTCCCATGCTTTGTGTATAGATATGGAGTGGCCACACCCAGCACTGGAGGTCAAGTGAATAACATAAGGTCGAAAGCACTGACAAACCTTAGATGGCGGAGGGTAGTCTTCAAAATTAGTGGAGCAGCTCTTACTGGATCTGATACCTGCAACGTTGACCCTAAGGTTTGTGGTTTGGTTATGATGTTTGGGAAGTTTGATGATATTTTTGACTCATGACCAGTCTTTACAAATTACTTATTTTTATCTAGATGTTGTGACAACACTTGTTCCATTTGTTTGTTTCAATTAATTATCAGGTGGCTATGTTAGTTTCAAGAGAAGTTGGCATAGCTTCCCGCCTTGGTGTCGAGGTATTAGTTCTCTTGATTGTTCTCTGGAGCCTGTTATTGTGCCACCCTTTTCAGTTTAGCTGAAGTAGCTTGTGATATTTCAGGTGGCGATTGTTGTTGGAGGTCGTAATTTCTTCTCTGGAGATGCATGGGTAAATGGTTTAGAAAGATGTACCGCATACCAAGTTGGGTAAGGTTAATTACTAAAATTTCTATGCAAGTTCTATTTACACCATTGTTATTTTACTAGAGATCAATCACAAAGAAAATAAATGGAAAATAGTTTTAGATATCGGGCAGCCATCATATCCTGATAAAAATAGATGATCCCAACCAAAGAAGATATGTTAAAGTGTGCAGTGGGATAGAAAGTACCTTGGTCGCAGTGCTGGAGAAGGCCACATCTGTGAAGCAAACTCTGACTTGACTTGTATGGGAAGGGTTGTGTCATTGGAGAGCACTTACCTTGTCCAGGTCATAAGGCTACAAAGACTAGAGGACAACGATTCTTATCATTCTATAAAACTAAATTGGAAATCTGATATTTGAAGATCCGAGTGGGGCTGCGATTAGACTCACCACTCACCAGGGGAACTTTTTTGTCCAGTTTTTTGTCTACGATTATAGTTATCATTTTTTTACTGTACGTGACTCTGCCTAGTGTACAAACCCGTTCTTCCCCTTTCTAGAGTTGCACTTCCGACCTTTCATTTAGTTGCATATTCAAATATGCGGAAGTTTTTATCTAATGAATGAATTTATATTGAGATATGCTTAACAATTATTTCTTTTGTAACAGTTTAAGCTATCAACTTATGTTAGTTTTATCTCTGATTTTCTATGTTTCTTTTTCTTGAAAAACATAAAAGTCTTTTGATGCCTTAACTTTGAGACATCCTATTGTGCTCTGGCAAGTATCTTCTTCATGCCTTGCACATGGATAATCTTTGGACGGGTGCTTTCATGGCCATTACTTTGTTGCTTATGTTTATATCTTGCCATAAGATATTTTTAATCTTTCTGGTTAATATATTATCATTCAAAGTGATTTACTTCTGTTTCTACTTTCCTTTAAAATTTTGACCTGAATAAGTATGTCTTCTTGAACTTGAATTTGCCAGCATGATGGCAACTGTGATGAATTCAATATTGCTCCAATCGACTCTGGAGAAGATGGGTGTTCAGACTCGTGTACAAACTTCAGTTGCCATGCAGGAGTTTGCTGAACCATACAATAGGCAGCGGGCCATCAGACATCTTGAGAAAGGAAGAGTTGTTATATTTGGTGGCATCAGTTTTGGTGCTGGCAATCCACTTTTCTCAACTGACATAGCTGCAGCTCTTCGTGCTTCAGAGCGTATGCTTTTGTCCTTTGTAAAATAAATTTCTAATTACCTTTTTCCCTGCATTATCTGTAGTTTATGCAAAGGGGCAATGCATCTTTTTTTGGGTTTTTTGTTTTTGCTAGCATCAGCATATATCTTATATCTCTTTCAATCTTGCAGTTAATGCTGAAGCAGTCCTCAAGGGTACTAACGTAGATGGTGTGTATGACCGCAACTCAAGAGATAACAACTTCACTTTTGAGCATATATCCTTCAGAGAGCTAGGTTCAAGAGGCGTCACCTCTATGAATATGTCCGCTCTGACATTCTGTGAGGAAAATGCCATTCCTGGTTAGTAAGTTGTTGCATTTGATCTTTTTATAAGCTTGTTTCAGGTTTTAGTGCCTTTGGTTATTGCATAGACTATACAAATGCACAGCCGTTAGGATTTGTGGCCTGTGTCTTACAGTGGGTTCCCAAATTGTCTCTGTTGCATACTTAAACTCTTATGTCCCTGTCCTTTGTCGTGGTTCTTCTCTATGATGCATGAATACTAGACCCCTATAAGTTTATTCTAGAGAAGAAAAAGATACGAAATGTATAAGCTATGTATTTAAAAATTACAATAATTCATATAACATAATAAATATAAAACTACAATCATGTAAATCAAAATTTTAAATCACATTTGTTAGATATTACATAAATAAAAAATATAAATCATTCTCATTATAATTTTTTTCTATTATATATATATATATATATATATATATATATATATATATATAACATTATCGATTTCATTACTTTTTTTAAAGTAGTTCATAAAGAACATATTTTTCTTTGATTTATGAAAAAAATAATATTTATATGTTTCTATTTTACACAAGATATAAGTTTCTTGAACTTTTATTAGCTATAAACAATTTAAAAGCTTGAATATTTAATCGATATATATATATATATATATATATATATATATATATATATATATATGAGAGAGAGAGAGAGAGAGAGAGAGAGAGAGAGAGAGAGGTAAGTATCTAAAAGTATTATACGTAAATAAAAGTATTGATGTTTAGTAGGTTTTGATATTTCATGGATAAATATCAGTGCTTCATAGGTTCTCCTCCTATAGTATCCAACGTTACTTTCATAAACTGATATTGAAGTTATCGACCAAGTGGTCATTTTCTTACATATTTTATTTGACGAGTTTCTTTTGCCATTTTCTTACACAGTTGTGGTTTTTAATCTACTGGAGCCTGGGAACATCTCTAAAGCTTTATGTGGAGAACAAGTTGGCACACTAATTGACCAAACTGGAGCAATAAGCTAACAGTTAATTCCGCATTTCAATTATTACCTGTCAGTCTGGAGCAATCAAGTTGAGTCGGATATTTGCTATGACTGAGATTCTTTAAGAAGAAAATTTCAAATCTAGACAGATTATGTGTGTCATCAAGATAGTGGAAATCGTACTTTGGAACTGTAATCACAAATTCCCTTTCACTAATTTTAGGTGGTGGTTGTAATTTTTAATAAGTTTCTGTAAAAAGAAAAAAAAAAAAGAGAGAATGTTTTTGTATATTATTCTTAGATGAATTGTAGCATAGTAATGTATTAGCAGTAGTCATCCTCCTTTGTTAGTAAATGTAAACAGATGCAGAGTATTCAACTTTATTTATTATTGCTGAAGTACTAATCATTTCCCCTTGTGTCAAAGCGATATAAATTAAGAGAACAAAAAGAAAAGTAACTTTTATTTGGTTCAAGGATGTGGACTGGAAATTTTGAATTCACACACTTCCAATGCATGTCTTATAGCTTTACTAATTGAGTGCTATTTCATTTTATAATTAAAATGAATTTTTCAAGAAATAGGATTTCTTTTCTTGACTTGAATATTATATATGATCCCAATATGAAACGTGAAATCTTAAGGATTGGAATTCCCCTATGTTTTAATATTTGTGAGGTAGTCATTAGTTGTAAGTTGCATCCAAATTTCTGGCAGGCGTTTCATTCATCATGAGCTTCCACTGAAATAGTTTATCGCCTGCGTAGCTTTTGACATCAATTTTAATCACATTGGAGCTCCTAACACGATTCCATGATTTCAGGGTCGCATGTTAATTCATGACGATGCCATTGAAGTGTTACCCAAATTCATAATTGCAGGTTCACAGTTCTGTTATGACAGTGCCATTGAATTGTACCAATGTCCACTGATGCAAACTCCAGTTGTACAAAATTATACAATCAACTAGACAATAGTTATTCTAATGGCTGAAGACCATCGATAATTGAGAGTTGTGTTACGTTCAACAATGGAATTCCACATAACTCAAAAGTTTTACAAAGAACACTTGCAACGACAGCAACAAGTAATGTGCACTGAGACAATGCAACCAGAAGAGGAGCTTATCACTGCACTGAAAGTAACTAGAATATGACATTAATTAATCTTATATATACCATACAATATAAGATTGAACGTTACTCCTAAGCTAGACCATCCTCAGTGGTGGGAATGGAAGGTGAAAGCGAATTGCGCGATTCATCATAGTCCTCCCCAAGAGGCGATTGCTCCACCCTGATCTCCTCAACCATCTTCACTACTTGTTCCATAGTTGGCCTCTTCTCCGGCTGCGCCGCCACACAGGACAACCCCACATGCAGCATGGACACAAGCTCTTCTTCAATGTTCTTGTAGCGCAAAAGCTCCTGGTCGAACACCTCTGCGGTCCACTCTTCCTTCACGACGGAGCGAACCCATTTGGGGAGGTCCACCACAGCCTGTTCCTCTTCCTCCATTCTAGGACGAGCCGGTGAAGGGTACTGCGACGAAGGAGCTCTTCCTGTGAGAACTTCCAACAGCAACACCCCGAAGCTGTAGACGTCAGCCTGCTGAGACAGCCTCTTCTGCTGTTCCTGTTCGGGGGCCCTGTACCCTCCCAATCGTGCAATGGCGTGAACCGGGTTCAAGAGAAGTGATAACCCGAAGTCCGATATGCACGCCACGCCGTTCTTGTCCAGAAGCACGTTCGAAGATTTCACGTTCCCGTGAGGCACTTTGGCTGCACTGTACTCCGCGTGGATCTTGGCAAGACCTCTCGCTGCTCCTAACACCAGGCTTATTCTTGTCGTCCAATCCAACGGAATTCTCCCCGGACCACGGTTCCCTATCATCAGTATCCATCAAATCCAGTAGAAAACCCAAATTTCAATTAAATCACCAAATTTACATCCCATTCTGATTCAGAATTTTTATGCTCTGTAAAGTTTGATTTTGAGTAGATCAGGTTATTAAATGCTTTTTATGTAATTTTGCAATTGAAATTGAAATTTGATATTCAAAATTACTAAAGATTACTGAATAAAACTCAAATTGGAATTATTTAGAAGAGTGACTAACCATGAAGAAGAGAATGCAAGCTTCCATTGGAGAGATAATCGTAGACCAGAAGCTTTTCCTCCTTGGCATAGTAATAGGCTTTGAGTCTCACAACATTGGGGTGCTTAAGCTTCCCAATCACATCCATATACTGCTCAAACTCATGCCTGGCGCAAGGGTTCGCATCCTTCAACCTCTTCACCGCCACTGTGCACCCATCGTCAAGCACCGCCCTGTAAACCGTCCCCAAACTCCCCTTCCCAAGCATCTCCGCTGACGCTCGCAGTAGATCCTCCAACTCAAACTCACTCCTCCGATCAAAAAACACAAGCCTACTTCTATCAGTTCCACTCGTCCCATCACTCTCACCACCCCCACTTCCATACACCTTCTTCTCGCTCCCATTGTAACTGCTCCCACTCTTCCTCTTCCCATAACTCTCCCCACTCCCCACCAAACTAGACCCTCTACCCCTCGCGCAACAATGCGCCACCAGAAATGATGTCATCACAAGCAACGCCACACAATTCCCCACAACAATCGCCACAATGGCACCGGGACTTAAACCCTTGTGATGCTCCTTCCCTGGTCGAGCTATTACGCTGGTCTCAGGGAAGGAACTTGGGTTTGAAGGAACCGTCTGAGACGGTGCATTGTCATTGTTATTACTATTATCATCAGGAGGGTTTGTAATGAAGGAACAAACTGGTAATGGTGTTGCACCACATAAACCCTCGTTACCTGAGAAGGTAGTGACACCGAATTTCTTGAGCATGGCGTTTGGTAAACGACCGTAGAAGGCGTTGTTTGTCATGTTGAGTTCTCTGAGGTTTTGCATGGAGGAAGTTAGGTCAGGGATTTCACCGGAAAGAAGGTTGTTTTGGAGTCTCAGTGTGATGATTTGAGTTAAGTTAAAGAGAAAGTCAACTTTGCCGCGAATGTTATTGTCGGAGAGGTCGAGGCGGAGGAGGGATTTGAGGGAGGACACCTCTGGCGGGATCTCGCCCGATAAGTCGTTGCCGGCGAGGTAGAGGAGTCGGAGGTTGGTGCAGTTAGAGAGGAGCGGCGAAACAGTGCCGTTCAAGCGGTTGTCATGGAGGTCGAGGAGGCGGAGGTGGGTGAGGGGAGTGAGAGGGTCGAGGGGGCCGCGGAGGTTGAGGGAAGGGAGGGAAAGGACAGTGACACGGCCGTTCGGGGAGCAGAGGACGCCGCGCCACTTGGCGGCGCAGGCATCGCCGCCGGTCCAGTTGGAAAGAAGGTAGCCATGAAGGTCGCTTTGGCGGCGGAAGAGGGTGAGTGCATGAGTATCATTGTGGTGGAGACTGAACGTGAAAAACGGTAAGAAAAATAAAAACAACAGGAACAAGACATGGTGATGCTTCATCATCGTGGGATGAAGATGATGAAAACGAACCTCGTTCATGGTTGTCCTTGGACGCGGGAAGTGCCAACAAATTGAAACAACGTTAGTGTTTTAAAAATTAAAATAAGATTATTGATGGGACAAAATTTGCAAGGATTTTCATGTGGCATGATTAGAGAGAGAGAGAGAAAGAATTGATTTTTATTATTATAGTATGTGTAATATGTTGGGGTGAGTAGGACAGAGGGAATATATATGATGATTAAAGGTAGGAAATGGTTGTGTGAATGATTGCTGTTGTCCATTTCTCTAAAGAAAAAGATCACCATAAGCAACCTCACTTTTCTTTGCTTTTGCTTTTTCTTTTTCTTGGTCTGTTCTGCAAAAGGTGAAAAGAAGAAATGTTTATGTGTGGGGGTGTTGTTCTTGGTCCTTGAGATCTGAAAATTTGGTCCCTGCTGCATCTTTATAGTACCACACCGTAGAAGAAATGAATTAGTATGCTATGAATGGAATTTGTTGTTTTCTTTTTTATTATTTTAATCACTCACTGCTACCTTGATTATACTTTCGCAATACAAAAATGATGTACTTTTGCTGTATTATAGTACTGTGATGTGTTGAGATCACACAAGCTATATGAATCTCTTTCTCTCTTGTAAGTAACAAAGTAATTCTAGTGCTGTTGATATGAAGTTAACTTTAGTCTTTTAAGGACAAATTTGAAAATAAAGAAAAAAGCATTTGGTATAAATTTTTAATATTTTGAAGATTACTTGTTTTAAAGACATTCAAGATAAAATTGACTATTGATTCACTGAAACCTTTTATTTATGTGGGAATTTGAGAATGATGTTGAGGATTGGATGTTTTCAGCAACAAGGGGTTACTGCTATGTTGTATCCCACATCATGTTGTGTATTCGCTGTTCATATATGTTACGAGATCTTCTTGAATTATTGAGAAACGTACCAAAATTATTAATTATAGTATAATATTTTGATTAAATAAAAATCGATTTTATAAGGAACAATTTCAATAAAAATTCCTAATTATATGCTTATTAAGTGAATTAAAACAGAATGAGTTTTGCATAAAGAGTTGAATTAAAATTAAAAGACAAAGAACTGTAAATTGTTGAGAAAACATCAATTAAAGACACTTAGGATTAATTTCCTTCCTTATCCCTTTTTTTAATGACTATGTCAATTAAGAACGTCAATTAACCTAACAATGTTGATGTCACCTACTCAAATCATCCATGTTTATTCCTCATACATGAAATTTATAAGAAAACATAATAAATGTTGATTCCTCATACAATTAAGAGATTTTCCAGCATTAGGTTAAGAGTGTTAAGCAATTGATACATTCATTCCATTTCTGACAATTAACGTAACAAATATTCTTACTGTGATCTAGGGTTTAATATATATTTTCCAATCATATCTCAAACATCAAGAATAATTCATTTCAAAGCACAAAGAATAAAAATAACAACATCAAAACATAGATTAATATCTCAAAATATCACCATAATACAAAAGAGTTCAAAGGAAGTACACCAAATATCAAGAGAATGAAGTTAGTCACTCATGTTGGCCATTACAATGCTCCAAATGTGGAAGAAGTGAAAAATTGATGAAGATTGGACGAAACCCTAGCTGTAGTCGCGCCTCTTCTCCCCAAAACCGCTTGTTTTTCTCAAAACACATATTCTCTTTTTATAGGAAAAATTGGGTTTTTGGGCTTCGCGTCTTTCGTTCAATCGAAAGTTGCCTATTTTCGCTTAAGCGACAAAACAAAACGCTCGCTTGAGCGAGTGAACTCCAGAGAAGAATAACTAATATTCGCTCAAGCGAATTTTCTTGCACTTGAGCGACTGACTTCCAGAGAAGAATAACTGATATTTACTCAAACGAGAGTCCATCCCGCTCGAGTGACTTCCATGCTGAAAATCTTATTCCTTCTTCCAGTTTTACTCCAATTATGATGACAATTATGCTCCTTACTCTTGTATCAAGGTATTCTATCCTATATTGGGAGAAAAATATATTAGAATTAATATAAGTTAAATGGTTTCATAACAATTCAAGACATAATTATATAAACTTTTTACCACTTAACACTCCCCCCAACCTAGAATCTTGCTTGTCCCAAACAAAGTAATTTTTCCAAAACAAAATCATCACCTATTATCTCTTTCTCTTCCAAAACCACAACATAAAATTAACCTTTCAGATATGATGCTCACAACTCCAAATGAAAATAGAATACATAAGCATTCAAGTTACAAAAACTAACAAAGAATAATTAGTCATCAACTATCCTCAGAGAAGCATGATCTCTCAAATAGAGTTATATATAATCATCTCTAATTCTCATAGATAAGTGTTTATCTCATTCAATCACTTCATTTAGACAATCCAATATTGATAATCATCTTCAAGCAATTAACATTTGTTAAACAAGACTTAAATCAAAAGGTCTTTTGAGACTTGTAATGGGGTTGAGCTAAGAAAGAATCATTGGTTTTTCTGGGATATACAAAAGTATTTGAGAAATTCAACTCATATGAATGATTCCTGTTTAATATTTCCTTAAGTCGGGTTTCAAACTTCATGTTTTTGTCCCTAACACAATGATAATGAGTTAATAATCTCACAAGTTATTATTTCCCCTTTTGATTTTTTTTTTTCATGCTTTTGCATGTATCCTTTTTGGCTTTGTCACAATTTTTAAACTTTGTTTTTCCTTTTTCTTTACACCCTATTTTTTTTAACAATATCACCCCAATAATACCCGTAGGACAACAATAGCAATACCCAACAATAGGAAAAATAATAACATTCATACTCATTTCCTTTCTCAAATATAGGAAGGTAGATAAATAATTTTTAGGCTCAGGGGTTCTGTTTAAGAAACAATATTATTTTTGGCTCAGAAGGGATTCAAATGGATGTCTTATAATTAATGTAGGGTTGACTATTTGGCTCTGGGTTATATCTACTACAAAGAAAAAAAAATGCCTTTATCATTTTCAAGTCTCGCTAACATGCAATCACCTCAAAGAATCAACCAATATCAGTTATCATCATAAAATGTTGACACTCAATTTGAACTGTTTGTGGCACTCTACTCACATGAGTTTTGACTAGCTTCTCCAATTCAGTTAATTCCTAATTCTCCTCATCAATTCCTTTTCACTATCATACTCATCATCCCAAAATCACTTGTTATTGGAAATAATTAAAATGATTTTTCACGTTTCAGATTTGAATTAGACAATAAACAATAATCTCATATATGGCTCTAAAACAAATTATGGGACAACAAGGGAATTCAAAATTTAAAATAAAGCAATTAAAAACATTAAATTAAAAATAAAGGAATTAAAAACAATAAAAACAAAGTCAGTTTCCTCCCTCATTTTCTTCACTTGTCATCTCCTCCTTATCTTGTGTCTCAACCTCAGTTGCATACTTTCTCACCCCCTCTAGAAAAGTTGGAATGTCCCCAAACCATTGAAGTAAGGCTTCAAAGTCTTGAGGAGAAGTTCACTGTGTACCTGGAACAATCTTGCAAAGAAAGAACCCAAGGAAGAAAAATGTACAAAATACTTAAACTGCAAAAAGAAAAAAAAAACAAATTCAAAACATTGGGTTATCTCCTAGGAGAGCTTGTTTAACGTCTTCAACTTGACGCCTATTTGCTTTAGGGCTCATGCAGGTGAGTGATCAAGGTGATCTATACACATTCTCCATCCCTTGATTGTCCTTATGGGAATGAATTTATTCTTTTCATTGCGAATAACCTTACGACTGTCAGATATTGGATAAATCATACCTGCTTTAGGAGGTTTCAGTACCTCTCTTTGAACAACTTCCTTCATAGTCAGATTGAGATGTCTTTGGGATTGTGCAACAGGCTTGTAATCTTGTTTTTCAGTTGAGATGGGTAATTCCTCAAAAGTATCTATTCTGAGACAATCTTTCTTGTCTTCCGGTTGTTGTATAATTTCAAACAGATTAAAATTAACTTCATCATCTCCACTTCTAATTTTCAACTTGCCTATGTCAACATCTATAATTACTTTGATAGTCTTCATAAATGACCTTCCCAGGATCAATGGGACTTCCTCATTTTCCTCCATGTCCATAATCACAAAATCAACAAGAAATATGAATTTATCCACTCTAACTAAAACATCTTCTGCTACTCCATAAGGAATCTTTATTGATATGTCAGCTAGTTGCAGAGTCATTCTAATTGGTCTAACATCTAAGTATCCTATTCTTTTGAGCATAGATAATGGCATGAGGTTTATGTTGGCCCCTAAATCAAGTAATGCTTTTTTCACTGGTAATGTACCAACTGTGACTGATATAGTGAAGCTTCCAGGGTCCTTGAACTTTTGAGGCAATGGTTTCTGGAATATAGCATTACACCCTGCCTCTAACTCCACTGTTTCATTAATAAATCTTTTTTTCTTAGTTAAGAGCTCTTTCATGAATTTGGCGTATGTTGGCATTTGCTCCATACCTTGAGCACCTTTATAATTAGCTTTTTCTTGTTGAATGTTGCCTTGATAAGAGCATTGTTCATTTGAATGATCACCTCCACACAAGTCGCATTTCATGAATTGTTGATCAGGAATGGATTGTACTGTATGCATTTGTTGAGGTAATTTCTCTATTTTCTGGTTCAATGCTTCAATTTGTTGGGTTATAAGTTTATTCTGGGTTAAGATAACATCTGAGGTGCTAAGTTCAAGTACTCCCTTTCTTTGAACTGGATGTCTATCATGTTGGGCTTGTTGGTCTGTAAAAGCTAGTGCATCAATAATTCTTGTGACATGTTCAATTTCTGCATCCAACATGGATCCTTCTACTGCAGCCTCTAATAGCATCTTTGTATCATGTCGCAAGCCATTATAGAAAATATTCAACTGATCAATGTCATCAAATCCATGATTTTGGCATCTTCTCAACAGTGATTTAAATTTCTCCCATACTTCACAAAAATGTTCATCTGCTCCTTGTCTGAAAGAAGTGATATCG